GTCACTGCAGCCAAGGCTGGCCACGAGTTTAACATCACCCACTAGCCCTTCCCTATTGACGAGAAGGAGGTCCAACATGGCACCTCTCCTCGTTGGTTCCTCTATCACTTGGAGAAGGAAGTTGTCATCAGCGCATTCCAGGAATCCCCTGGGTTGGTGTTCCCTGCCGTGTTGTTCTAGTAGTTGATGTCAGGTTGATTAAAATCCTCCCTGAGGACCAGGGCTTGTGATTGAGCAGCAGCTCCTCTCTGCTTATGAAGGGCCTCATCCACTTGGTCCTCCTGACCGAGTGGTCTGTAGCACACCCCCGCTGTATGTTACACTGTCATCCCCCATGTCCACATCTGAGTAGCTGGAAGGAAGGTGGGTGGAAGGGCACATGTGGAGGAAACCTCCCCTAGGCTCCCTCTTTTCCTGAGGAAGCTGAAGAGACACTTTCCAGTGCAAAGGGAAAATCCCCCAGCTTGGCTCGGAGCTGGTTGTTTATCAGAAAGGCATTATCCGGGTAATTAACTCTGCCTGTGAGTACAAATGTCTTTGGCTCTTTCATGCATGGGAGCCTGGACGGAGAGGTTTGCTGAAGCATCCCCGTGTTGCTGCCGTTACGTGTAGCTACAGCGAGGAAGCCTTGCCCTGCCGGCTTGAACTGTAATTAAACCGAGGCTTCACTGCCACATGCTCTTGTCTCTGTTTTTGTGATACTTAAGTGGCCCTGACCCATTGCCTGATGAAGTTTGCTCTTTGTCCCTGTGTTTGCATTTGGAGATGTGGTGGGACAGGTCCTCTCTTCCCCTCCAGCCCTGCCTGTGTCGTAGCAGATATGTGTGCTCTGAAGTCGGTGTGGGTGTGTCCTGGTGCTTCTTCCACAGCAGAAGAGGTGCTTTAGAGCAGCTCACCCACGACACTATAACCTCCACTCATCTCTCTCTGTATTGCACCTCTTCAAGGAGCCTTTGAGTGACAGCCGTAGCTCTCATTCCTGTGTTTCTGTCCCTGAGAGCAATTCTCGTCTCGGCTCTCACTGCCGTCTGTACCTTCCTGCTTCCTCCAGCCTCTCCTCAGAGCTTGTCCTGGGAGGAACCAGCTTGGTGTGTTCAGTGATGGTTCAGTGCCTCAGTCTGGGTTCCCCATGCATTGCTGCAACTTGGGAGCTTTAAGCAGCAAACTTTCTTCCTCTAAAGCTCCTTGCGAGAAGGCAGAGAGGACTCCAGGTGAGACTGGTGCAAGCGGAGCTTTCACCTCCTGGGGTTGTGACACTACTGTTCGAAAGAAAAATAAGTATATGGATTTCGTTGATATTTTTTTTTTCCCCCCACAAAATTTCGAAGTGAGGAGTGTAGGAGGTCCTCCAGCCTTGGTCCTGGACATCCTTGGAGGTGGTTGTGCGCATCTTGGATCCTCTTTCAGCAGACCATGAATCATTTGGCTGCCTGTGTTGGACTCAACACTGTGCTAAGTAAAAGATAAGCACTTCTGAGTCTGTCTCTCAACACCATCGTTTCCAACAGTTGGCTCAGGAGCTGTCAGGCAGGATTGAGAACTACAGCGTCTCTCCTCAATTACACGAGTGCAAATCCAGAGGATTTCACTGGATCAAGACCAAAAATAACAATGCTTGCAGCGAGCTGTGAACCCGGCTGCAGTGGGAGTGCTGACGGGAGGTGGGATCCTGGGGCACACAGGGGCATCGCTGCCAGGAAAAACAGCTTGAGGAGGAGCTCGATGGAATGGGTTTGGCTGCTTGTTCCTGGGGTACGTCTTAAAACCAGGTAGAGGACAGAGGCCGCCTCTGGTATTAATGGAAAATTCCTTGGCATTTGACTGTATCCTGCAGGAGTCCTTGGTTAATTATATTTCCCAGGGGTCGCTCCAGTGTCTATTACAGATTGGGATGCTTAATTAATAGGAGTAACTGTCCATACTAGGGGAAGGAGTGAGTGACCAACCCACTTCTGGGGAGCATAAGCGGTTTTTCTTAGAAAAGTTGTACCATGAGCTGGTTTCTCATGAAATATCTGTTTGCTGAGCCACTCAGAGCTGTTTGAGTGGCCATCAGAAAGGTTATTAACGCGCAGAGCAGATGGAGGTACAGAGACCGCTTATTAAAATTAGATTGCCTTTTGCTGTTATGCTAATGCCAAGTGGATGGCAGAAGAAAATTACCCTGACCCACTCCCACGCCTCAGCTGCCTGGGTTTGCGATGGGGCACTGTGTGATTGGGTGTGAGAAGGGAGGGAACACGATGAGAAAAATGCACTCCCCTCCCTGTGCCTTTGCCGTGCTCCTGCACAGAGCTGGCCCCACCGTTTCTGATGGATGTCTTGCTCTTGGTCATGGTGCTGGATCACGCTGCAGGTGCTCTGTATTTCTCAGGCAGCACTGGAGAGGTTTATGGGGCAAAAAGTAGTCTCTGAGAATACAAAAGGCTTCCCCAAGCAGCACGGAGCTGGTGGAAGGGCTGTGTCTTCACCCTGTTCAAGATCTGTGGTGTAGGTGGAAAGACTGTTAGTGGTGTGGCCATGACACTCCAGCTCTTCTCTTTCCTAGACCCTCTGGCAAAGTGTAGGTGGAGGAGCCCGAAGGTGGCTTTGACTTGCAGCGTGGCCATAGCATCATCCAAAACACCAAGTACATAAAGGTCGGTTACAGGAAACCACCTCTTCTCTCAAGCTCCTGCCCCAAATGCAGAAATTGGGCTTCTTTTTCTTTGTCTAATTTAAAATAAGTCAACTCCTTTTTTTTTTTTTTTTAATGGGAAAAAGATGGATGAACCAAATGGTCAGCAGTGCCTTTAGGAAAGCCTGGCTCAGCATCTGTGTGTGTGTTGTGGCCACCACTAACCAGGAGATGTCTTCTCTAGGTCGAGGAACAGACCTGAGCCAGTCTCAGATGCCCAATGTGCTCCCAGGTCACAGCAATGAGCATGTTGGCTCTTGTTCAGTTTTAACACTGCATTTTCTTCTTCCTTCAGGCTATGAAAGTCCTCTCCAAAAAGAAGCTTTTGAAGCAGTATGGATTTCCACGTGAGTCTTTCACATTTAGAGCTCTGCCTGTCGTCCTCAGCCAGGCACATCTCTCTGTAGACACGCTGACTGCAAGGGCTGCGGAACTCAGCTTCATTTGAGATCTGCCCAAGTAGTTGGGGACGAGTTAAAACTCAGTGGGTAGTGAAAGGGCAGGCACAACCACAGGGAAACTCACTGCACTTGGTAATTAGGTTCCTGGCTTTGAATTTCTGAGTCTTTTTGAAATGCTGACTTTTCAGTGTTCACCATCGATAAAGCCTAATTAAGTCCTGGAAGTTAGGCAGGAGAGACCCTCTGTCCTCCCCAGAGCTCTTCTATCCCCTCAGACAGCAGCTGCCTCCAGTGGCAGGGCCATGGGACCATGCTGGGAAGCTGGGAGGAACTGGTCTGGGTGGGGCTTGCAAATCTTGATTTTGGGTGCAGGCTGTAATGCCTCGGGATGGTAACAAGGTGATGAGATCTTCCAGCATAGCCAAAGGGTAATTCTGCAGTGGGGCTGGTGGCAACTCACTCCTACGTGCCAAGCACCTCTGGAAAATGAGTTTTTCCTCACCATGTTATCATGATTTCAGGTCGGCCTCCTCCTAGAGGGTCAAAAGCATCTTCCGGAGAGCAGCCCAAACCCATGGCACCGCTGGACAGAGTCTATCAGGAAATAGCCATCTTAAAGAAGCTGGACCATGTCAACATCGTTAAGCTGATAGAGGTGAGCTGCTTCTCCACACTAAGCTACATTGAAACCAGTCTAGTTTATATTGCAAGAAGAGAATCTTTCTTCAATTGCTCCTACTTCAGCCAAAATTGGCTTAAAATAGTTGTTCAGAAATTTAGGTTGGTGATTCCAGGCAAGATCATACCCAATTATGTGTGACGATCTGACATACTTAACTGGGCTTTGGGCTGCTGCCCAAGAGAAGGCAGCTGGCTGTGCTGGTAAAAATAGCAGAGAGTTTTCACCAGTGAAACTGGTGTGTAGGAAATCCTGGGAAGGCGCACAAGTGCGAGACTTTGGTGCCATTTTTGATATTAGCTGAGGTCAGATTAGGACATGCAGTACCTTTTTCAGTAGACTGTTTCTCCAGATAGAGGCAGAAGCCTCTATTTTGTGGAGTCAGGAAAATCTGTGTCCTTCAAAGCTTCTCTCTCTGTAGGAATCTCTAAATATTAGCCCAAGTCATTCTCAGTGCTCTGCAGCTCAGCACAGTGTACAGGAGCAGTAAAGTATTACTTGATTTTAAAAAATCTCTTTTTTTTCCCTTGTTTTTCTCTTATTTCACTTTTACCCTTATCTCTCTGTTATCAATTACAGGTCCTCGATGATCCTGCAGAGGACAACTTGTACATGGGTGTGTGAGCCATACGTGTGCTAACAGAACCACCTGGGCTTAGACCTAGTGATGCAAGTAACCCATCCCAGGGCTTGGGGTCAATACTAGCATGAAACTTGTTTTGCTCTGAAAAGTTAAATGCCTGGAAAGGCAGCTCTTCTTCTCCCCCAGACCTTGCAAGTGCCAGCCACAGCCTAACCCCTGTTTGGGCAAAACCTGGAGGGACAGGCCTGGGTGGCAGTGAGATGGACCAGAGGAGGAGGGGAACATCTGGCTCTGTTGCATCTCAGCTTCCCCATAACATTTCCTGATGTGTCAGGCTCAAAGGCTGCTTCTTGTGAAATAGTTTTGGGATGCTTTTGAAAGGTACCTGCAAAAGGGGGTCGCTGTGTAGCACATGAAGCTGTTTGGGGGAAAAAAAAACCACAACCAATCTCTCCCGTGAGCAAGATAAGAGCCCCAGAAATGGCATCAATAGCTCAATAGCAGCAGGACAAGTAGGAGATCTCTTGCTCCCACTGGGGGTCCTGGGGAGGTTGCACTGGTCCCTGGGGAGGTTGCACTGGCTGTGACCATGTTGTCCATACCCCATCATCTCATTGCTCCTCTTGGAGAGGTTTGGGCAGAGGGATGCAGGCAAATCAAGCTCCTGCCTCTGCAGTTCCCTCGGGAGCGACGGGAACCTGTGGGTGCTCAGCGCTGCTCAGGATTGAGCCTTCTGCAAGGGAGTTTCCTCCCTCCTGCTGCTGACCCAGCCCATGACTGCACCCTTCTCCTTCCAGAAATGCCCCCCACGACGAAGCAAAACCAGAGGAAGCGGAGTTGGATTAATTAGTGCTGGCATTCAGTGCCTCTGTGAGCGCTCTGCTGTGCGCTCTTTGGGAAGGGAGCTGGGGATGGAGGAGGCCGATAGAGGTTGAGCAACCTGCGATGGCACAAGATGGTGGAATAATGAAATTCCACCACAAGCTGCAGCTTCTTCAGCCTGGAGAGCAAGTGTAGGCAGTGCAGGCTGGCTTGTTAGACCCACTGAAGGTACAAACACACCATTGCAGCTGTAAACAGGGCTGCCTGGTGCTTCGGGGAGAGCGAGCTGCTCAGATTTCTCGGGAGGTACAAGAAATACCTCAGTAATTCATGAGGGAAGACCTCTCCTACTAGATAAAGGCCGATTCTTCTCCTGTTTGCAGAACAGGTCAGAGACAGGATCAGCAAAACACCGCTGACCCCCTAATCAGACACAAAAACGCACTTTCTCTACAGACCTCAGCTCACACCAACAAATCCTCTCCAGTTGCTCCTGCCAGGGAGTGTTTACCTCTGACAGCCCTGTAGCTGTGCTGCTGATTGACACAGCAGAAACGGAGCAACGTGTTCTTACAGCATCTCTTTCGGTATCAGCAATTTAACAGAAATACCACACCAGACACGCTCCCTGAAGGTACCGAAGGCTGATACCGGGAGCTGCAGAAATGTGGTTGATAAATTAGCACCCGCTATCTCCCCGCGTGGAACTGGCAGGAGATGGGGCTATTTGTCTCTGCTGAAGAGACTTTCATTTTGCATCCTCTGGTGTCTTCGTCATGGGCGAGGGAAGAAAAATTGAGGGGAGATAAATTGATTTTGCAGGTATGGGAATGGATGTGTTTTTGTAGGTGCTAAAAAACAAATAAGCCCAGTCCCTTCTTCTGATTCACTCATGGTTTGATTTCCTTTTCTTGCAGTGTTTGACCTCCTGAGGAAAGGGTAAGTAGTCCTGCTGGGATTCCTTGTTGAAATTTTTGTTTTTCATCATTAACTTCTAAGGAAACAGAGGTTTGATATGTGCAGTGGGGCAAACCACTGTCTGCAGGCGATGTGGCGAGTAGTAGTGGGCTGGGAGAGCACGTCCCGGTGTCAGGCTTTGATCCAGAAAATAAATTTGATGCCACTTCTGCATTAGGTGCCTGGAAGAAAAGATTTTAATAGGAATACTCTGCTAGGATGTCAGCCACATCAGGGCTCCCTCTGGCACAGGGGCTGTATACTCGCACCCGCATTTATTTTCCACCCCCTGCCTTATTTTCCCCATCGCACTATTGTGTCGTGAGAGGCTGTTTTGCTGACATGTTTTTCCACAGCAGGACAATTAAGAGTCTCCTCACTGCTTTTTGCTACGCCTGGGCTGATTCTGCAGAGTCACAGTGAGGTCAGGAGTGCTCTGCCCAGGATGAGGGAGGTTCCCAAAGGGCTTATTTTCCTCTGTGGCCCCATGAACAAGTGTCTTGCAGGCTGCCGGCTCCAGCGGGTTGCTGGTGAGAGGCTTCCCAGTCTCCCTGGTGACCAGGCTGATGACTATCCTGTAGGAGAAGGGGAGGAAGAAAAAATAAAAGCTCCTGTAATCAGCTGTGGCCAGGGGATGTGCAGCTCAGCCGAGGGCAGCCAGTCTGCCTCTAGCAGAAGGCAATTAGACTCCATTAGTGGCTCTGCCAGTCCTGCTGCTCACGTTCTCTCTCCTTGGTTTCAGCAGCAGAAAAATGTACACGAAGAGGGAAGGGAAGGCAGTGGCAGAAAAGTGCAAATGAGAGATGAAGGTCATGAATCAAACGGGTGGCAGAGGAGAGAAGCAAAGCGCTGCAGGAAGGATTTGCTGCCGGGTGCGGAGGGGAAAAGCTGCAGAGCCTGGTTCTGCCGACGGGCTGTTCCCAGACAGACTCTGGATTGTGAGGATGGTGTCTCAGGAGCACTCTCCTAAATCTGGCTCGAGTGGGCGTAGATCCAAATGCTGGGTCAAGCCGCTGAGCACAGACAGGATTAACCCCCAGTGCAGTGAAGTCCTTAGCTCCTGCCGTTCATCTGCTGGGGAACAGAAGATGCTGACTAGCTCTCACAGCCTCTTTGCCCTCAGCTTTCAGCAGGCACAGGCAGAAGAGGGGCTTTTAGAGGATATTGTGCATCTCTCCGCAGTGGCGGCACACAAAGGAAAGGGGAGGAGAAGCTGACCGGGTAACCTTGGCTGCTTAGGGCTGAATTGGCAGAGTTCTGAACTCTGAACAGCTCAATAGGTTTTCAGAGCAGTTTCGCACAATGCACTGGAAATGTTCTCACTTCATCTTTGAGCCAGTGATTAATGTCTAGGTCCTGCCTTGGTTTAGGATAGCTGCACGCTGATGGTGCTTCAGGACTGAGCCCCAGCAGGCACTGACCTCCAGTGCACAGCCACGGGCACTCTGTCCCCACTGCTGCCTGCTACCTCCTGGTGCTCCCAGCCACGAGCAGCTTTAGCAACAGGCCAAAGACTGGATCCGGTTTTGTTCTTTCACCTCTCTTTTCCCATTAGGACTCCCGGTGAAGCGTGTTTGCCATATTTTGCACAGAGAGCAGCAGTTAATCCTGGTGTTGATGAGGGCTCTGTGGTTCCCGTTGGCTCGGGGACTGTGAAAAGCCACCCATCACCACTGCTTGAGCATCCCTGTGTCCAGAAAGGATGGTTATGCCTCCATCCTGTGTCATGACACCCAGGACCTGGCCCTCAGTGCTGGGGACGTGGTGATGGAGAATGCAAGGAGTGTTACTGCTATTCTGCAGAGAACTTAGTTACTCTCTAGAAAGGATGGTTATGCCTCCATCCTGTGTCACGACACCCAGGACCTGGCCCTCAGTGCCGGGGACGTGCTGATGGAGAACGCAAGAAGTGTTACTGCTGTTCTGCAGAGAACTTAGTTACTCTCCCCTTTCCTAACAGGCCTGTCATGGAGGTACCAAGCGAGCAGCCCTTCAGTGAGGAGCAGGCTCGGCTCTACTTCCGAGACATCGTCTTGGGCATTGAATACTGTGAGTACCGCTGGCACCGATGGCAGCTTTGCAGAGCTCAGCCGGGGAGAAGCTTCTCGACCCTGCTGGGCTGTCAGCTGAGCAAGCGAGGTCCCCTCCAGTGGCACATTGTGGGCTTTGCGGTTGGTGGTGGCCCCGCTCAGATTTACCCAGCGAGGTGGTGACTCTGGGGTGTTCCCACAGTCCCTCTGGAGACTCCAGCAGTGGGGTTCTTTGTAGCCTGGCTGATGATCATCAGTGGTTTTAGTAAGTCTTCTCCCAGTGTGGCTGAGGCCAGATTCTTTGCTGAGCACCTGTCCTGAAGAGTACAAGGAGGCCACGACAGGTCCGTCAGTGCCAGCAGGGATTTTTCTGGCCCTGTTGTAGCTGACGTGTTCCTGCCTGCAGGAACCTGGGCCTCGGACTACTGGAAAGATATTTTGAGGTTAAATGTAGTAATATTACTAGTTTACATGTTCTGTTTTCGTATGCCTTCCTTAGACCTGGCCTCTGCTGTGTGGACTATGGCAGGAGTTATTTAAGCACATGCAAACTTTAATTCCCATCCTGGTGGATCGGGCCCCTCAAAGGAAAGTGCTTTTGCTCCCGTTTGTGGGACTTCCCCACAGTGCTGACACACACACACCCGCTGTGACCTGGGGAGCCAGGCTGTCGCCTGCATGTTTTAAGTATCACTGGAGTGGTAATTTCAGAATGTGCTTAAGTGCTGTGGATGGGAAGGTTTTGCTGGATTATTTGTGTCATTAACTAAAGTGTGTGCTTAAGCATCTCTGTGAATTGGGCATATGTGCAATTACCTCCCTTTCCACTTGTGACTTCCCTCTAGTACCGCTTATCTGGGGTTATTTAACCCTCAGTCTCCCTTCCAGTAAGGCAAACATCGCTTTCCCAGTGATCCTCAGAGGACATGAATGTGCTGGACAGTGAACGGTTGCCGGAGGAGCTAGCGGTGGGTGCTGGAAGCCGAGTGTCTTTGTATTTAGCGGCCTCTGATACTGTTCCACTTGTTTGTCCAATCCCTTTTTAAACTTGCGCAAATCTTCAGTATCTGCTCCCTCCTGTTTCCATACTGTGGGGAGCGGGTCTTGGTTGGGGTTGAGTCCGATCCTGCAGGTTTCAGCTGATGCCAGCAGTGACTTGGGAACAGTCATGTCCTCTCTGTGCCACCCCTGATTTACAGACCTCCATCACGTCTTCACGGGTGACTTTTCAAGGAGTTCTTGTCTGTGCCAAGTGTCCTTCCACCCCTTTGACCATCCATTAGAGAAAGCCAGCAGTCCTGGAGCCCCTCAAGCATTCCTAATTGAGAGAAAAACTGTATTTTACAGTTGTCTTCTACAGTTAATGTGGCTGCAAATATTTGCTTCAGGAGTTGGCATATCCTTACCCCAACAAAGCTTAGAGGTTTGCTGGACAAAGACAAGTATTCCACTGTTTTACTTCAGATATCCTGGATATGGTGATACCTGAATACAGGTTTAACTTCTGGAAGGCAGTAAAATTTCCTTCTGCATTGACTCACTGGTGGCTTATATTTAGTAACTGCACAGTAAATGGGTTTCAGTGAAGGTGCATTTGGTGTTGTGCCAGTTTGCTTTGGCAGAGGAACAGTGGAAACCAGTATCAGGTGAAGCATGTAATGAGAGGATTTTCTTCCAGTGTCAGGCTGCTGTCTGCTGGCCAGAAATGTTTTCTGTGCTGTGAGCAGATGTTTGGTTCAGCACAAGGAGCAGGTGCCTGAAACTCTTCTCTGGTGGCAAGCGATGTAGGTGAGAGCCACGGTAGAGGTTGTGAAGGAGAAGCCTAAGTAAAGGGTAAGAAGGTTTGTCTGGGCAGGTAGCCTGGCTGTGACATTAGCCAGGAGGAGACACTTAACGCAGAACACGCACGCAAGCGTGACCCAGGGGAAAACCCTGCTGGCGTGCAGAGACTGGATGAAGCACAGCGACTGTCCCTTTTGCTGTTTAGCTGCAAGCTCAGTCTTTCATCCAGCTCATGAGAAGCTGAAACAGCTGCTGTCAGTGCAGCTGAAAGGAAGAAAAAACCCATTATTTCCTGCATTCTCTGTAGAAATGGCACGGTTTCCCTCATGCGACTATGTCTAGGGAAATTAAGGGTGGCAATTCTAGTCCCTCTGCAAAGGAACGTTTGTCTGGTCTGAGGTGTTGGGTTGAAAGGAGGGTCACGACAGGCAGCTAAAGCGGTTGGGAAGTTGCCCTTCCAGCAGCAGTGCTCTGCAGGGCTCTTGTACGAGCACCCTCCTGCTCTGGACCCTGCACGCTAAGCCTGGAGCAATAATAAAATGCCTGATATGCAAATCAGAGCTGGCTTAATCTACTCGATCATCAGTATGTGAGTATCGTTTCCGTTATCTTAAACGGAAATGTAAGCAAACAAATCAACAGCTGAGTCAACACAGCCTTGTCTCTTCTGAAGAATATCTACTGCAACATAAGCCCAGGGTAGGTGTGTTGAAGCACCAGGGGTGTAGCAGGGCTCAGTCTGGTTTGGCTCTTGGCAGAGGTTTGCTCCTCAGAGCTCATGTCGGCGTGGGTCCACAGAGCTGGGACCCGAGTCTGTGATGGAGCTGCTGCACGCTCTGCTGTGATTCCCAGCCAGCCGCCTGATCCATCTGTGCCTCCATTCCTGTGCTGGGAAATGGGGACCTGCTCCTTCTTCTGCTCCTGCCTCTTGCTCCTCACAACAGAGTATGCTGGGGTGAGGGCTCTCTTCTGCCACTACAGCTGGCAAGGTGCTGGCTTTATAAATGACACCACCAGGAGAAGAGGGGCTGGCTTGTGTTTTATCATGCGCAGACAAGCTCTGTTCAGAAGATAAAATCCAGCGGACCAAACAAAAAGCCTTTCATGTAGCTGCAAGCGTTACTGATACTGATCGATGAGGACTTTTTATAAGAGAGAGTAATTAGCTGGTGCAGCAGATCAGAGAGATGTGAGAGAGCCTCTTAAGAAAGATCAGGCACTTTGATTTTTGTTGTTCTTTGAAGCAGTTCTGTAAGTGGTGGTGCTTGGGGTTCGCAGCTCCCCGCAGCCCAGCCTGTGCAGGATGTTTTGGCGGCACTTGCTGCGCGTACCCTGCTCTCCACTTTCCCAGTGGTCCCTTGAACCACATGAGTGTTCCCTTGCACGTGTGGAGCTGTGTTAGGAAGCTCTGCATGTCCTCTGCCACAGGTGTATTAGGGCAAGGCTCTCTCCCGTTACCCATCACTTCCCACCGTTAGTATCCCATACCTGTCCCTTCTGCCGTGAGCGCGATGCTGAAGGTGAGCACGAATGGAAGCTGGCCTCTTCCGAAGAGCTGGCCTGGGTGTTGGGATCCCCCTTGTAAAACCTGAGCTTGGGCAGCATATTTGAGCGAGAGAATGGCAAAACGGCGAACAGAGCTGAGAAAATCAGAGAAGCCCCCGCAATTTGCTGAGCACGAGAGGGGAAGCGTTCCCCTTGCACAGCCCGACACATCCATCTCCTCGGCGGAGCACTGCGGACGAGTGCGGAGACTTGCTTCAGAGAGCAGCCTTCCGTGTGGAGCTCTGGATGGTGGTGCAGCAGTTTCCCCGGGAGGGTGTTAAATCATTTCTTTGCTACAGGGGTGATGTGAGAGTAATACTAAACAGACTCTGCAGTAGCACCGTATGGATTGCTTTTACCCTTGAATGGGGATGGGATTCTGGTTTTAATCAAGCGTAATTCGGCATCAGCCTCAGTAAATAGCAGGACATGTCAGTGCGTTGCAAAGTTTTATATGTGTGATTTTTTTTTTTTTTTAAATGAGCTTTTAGCAAGTTTCTATTAACCTGCTGGAGCTCTAAGGTTTCCAGAAGGGAATGCAGTGAAAGGCACCTTTTCTAAAAGGACCAAGGAACAATCTCTCTTTTTCTAGCACTTGTGTCTCTGCTCCATCTTGGTCTTTACTGGCTGTTAATCAAGGCAGATGGGTCCCAGGCGTTTGCTTCTGAATGAAAAGGAAAACCTTCTTAGTCTCCGAGTAGCCTGCAGTATCTAGAAAGGAGGAGCATTTCTGGAATGAGTTGCACGTTGCCATAAAAACTGGCTTGTCCCGCTGAAGGCAGCCGAGGGACCCAACAGAAAGAAATTATGTGCTCGGTGGGGCTTTGCTAACGATGGAGCAGGGAGGCAGAGCTGTGGGAGACCTGCGGGGAGCCCAGGTGGCAGAGATCCTCCGCCAGATCTGCCCCCTTGTCCAGCCCCATCTGCTGCGCTGCTGAAGATTCACTCCTGCCTGAACGTGAGCGCTGTGGGATCTCTAAGCCATGGCAGAGTTTCCAGCCTTGATGCTCCGGGACCTCAGCCCTGCCCGTACCTTCCCGAGCAGCGAGATCCCTGGGGAGCGGCGTGTGCGCTAACGGCAGCGATGGGGCTGGGAGTACTGGCTTTCTACAGAGTTTCATTTTGCTGTTATTGTTGAGCTGGGATCACAAGCTTGGTTCTGCAGGGATGCTGACCCCGGTTCAGAGGCACGTGAGCCTGTGCTTTCTTATTTTCACTGCCATTCCCACATCACCTGCTGGCTTTTCCCAGGGATGATGTTCAGCTCTGAGGCTGCATCTCTCCGCCACATAGGATCAGCCTTTGGGAGGCTTTTCTTAGGTGCTCCATGCCCAAAGTCATGAAACAGTCTAGACGTGATTTCCCCTGGTTCTGAGCACCCCTGGGGCTCTGTGATTTAATTAAATCCACCTTTGGTCAGGCTTTCTAACACGAGTCTCAATGAAAATGTAATACGTGTGCCCTCACCCGTCATACCTGCTTTGTTCATGGGATGGCTGTGAGGCTTATAAACAGGTATTTCTAATGTGCTTTGGGATCTTTGGTAGAGGATGCTTAGATTGTTATTCAGTTGTTATTTGCATGTTATTCACATGCAAATAGGCCTGAGATATTGTTACCTTTCCACAGAAGTAAAGGGTGGGTCTAATAAAACTCAATTTATCGCAGCACTGCAGAATCAGTCTTATCTCCTAAGGGCTCTGTAATACCATACACTGTTTCATTTTCATTATGAGGAGGTATTGATCCATTCTTTGAATGGGGTCTGTCTGCACAGAAAGTGCAGAGCATCTTGGAACCCCGGGGAAGTTGTTGCAGTGAGCTCTTGAGCTCTGCTTTAAAGAGCAAAATCCTTTCCAGGCAAAAGCCACACGTGGAACCACTTTGTCAGTCTGTCACAGCAGCTTCGGTAAAGTGCTCCGCTTTGGCCTGCCCAGCATTGATTTCAACCTTGGGAGGGATGCAGACAGGTACATTTTGGAGGGGAACAAGTGGTTTTCAGCTGTTGATGTTCCCTTTGCGTGTGGCGTGTCGGGGGAGCACCAAGGGGATGGTCCTTCCCAAATCCTCACGGAGCAAGTTTAGGCGCTGTGATGCAGGTAGTTACTTTGCTTATGTTTCTTTAAAGTGCATTTGAGGTTTTTGTTCAAATGTTGAAAGCGTTTTTCCTTCTTTTCTGTGCCTGACACACAGCTCCTGTTTGCTGGTGGCTGCTGCTACGTGTCCTTAATCCCAAGGGCAGGATGTTTCGTTTCTGGGACCTCTGGTCCTGGCTTCTGGTGACACTGAATAGTGACCCTAATGAAGGTGCCTTTCCCACCTGCTGCTCTTACATCTGCAGAGAGAAGAAACTTGCTCCCAGATGCTTCAGATGGGTTAATTTGTGCCGGTGATTGTGTTTAACCGACAAGGGCTGTCACGTACTCCCTTTAGGTGGCTCTGTGGGTCGTGTTGTCGTTAGCAGCCTGAAGGGTGTCAGCAGCCATACGCTTTTATTTCGGAGATGCTTAGCTCTCCCTCTGGAGTTCTCCAAGGATTACACCGTCTCTTCCTTTGCGTGTTGTGCTGGAAATGCAGATCACGCTGCTTTAACGAGTGCCTTTCCTGCAAGACAGCTTTGTCACCAGGGCTCCTCCTGGAGCGTGGCAGGGACGCCCGCATCGCTGCAGGCACGGCCCACCGCTCGCTCGGCAGATCAGCCTTTGGCCAGCCCTGCTGAATTAATTGTTCCCCGCCCTTCTCCCTGCAATGCGTTATCTGCAGGAGATCTGGACTTGCAGCAGAAGTTGGTGGGTTGGAAAGTTGGGTTTTTTTCTGCTGGTGGTGACGTCCTGCAGACGAGCAGTCCTGCTTCCTTTCCGCAGCTCGCAAACAAGCCGGTTTTTTTTCTACGTGGACTTGGAAATGATTTTTAGGGAATCTTTTACTCTTCTTTCTGCAGCCTTGTATCGTACTGAACTGTATGAGTGGCAAGGCACAGCGCAGGAGAGGAAAAGGCTGTGTGTTTTGAAGCCTGTTTTGGAGAGCTGTGCAGGAAAGGATGCCCACAGCAGCTGGCAGACGGGGACTTTAAGAATTGTGATTCTTCAAAGCAGAGAAGGGATTTGAGGTTGCCTTCATCAGGTTAGCAGCTCCACACCAAATCATTTCTTGGCAGACATGAGCTCATGCTCTTCCCATTTTTATAGCTGCGCTGGAGCCTTGTACGTTGACACCAGCTGGCGCTCGGTGCCCAGCTCCTGTCCCCTGTCCTTCTCCCTTCACGGCTTTTGCCTCTGCAACAAGGCAGCTGGGTAAGGGAGGGCATTTGCAGAGAGTAGGAGACTTTTGAGCCAGCTGGCATGAGACTTTGTCATTACTGTCACCCAGAGAGCACGGCAGCGCAGTAGGTGGGTTGGGCACAGCTCCCAGCACTGCAGCTCCTGACCCGGCCAGCCACGTCCCCTCCGTGCCCATCTCCTTCCCATCCTGGTCTGTTGTTATTTAAACTGTTGTTATTTAAACTGTGTGCCAGGCGACCCTACTGGTTGTTGCTAAAGTTGTGTTTCTTATTTCTTTGTTCAGCACTTGAGCTGCTCCTGTGCCCGGCGGTGCTCAGACCCGCTGGGTGCCGGGCTGAGACGGGCACCGAGCAAACACAGAGCGCCTGACAAACGGCCCGCATTTTCCCGCTGCTTTTATTAGATTGCACAAAGGCAGGGAGTGTGTTTTACAAGAGAAATAGTTATTTGATATGGGAATTGGTTTGTGGTTTTGTCTGTGAGGTTTTGGTGTGGTTTTTTTTTTACTTCCGTGCATGGAAGAAATAATAAAAAGCCTGGAGCACCTGCTTGCCTAGTGTGACACCCTCAGTTTTCATGGATTTAGCTCCAGGGATGTACTTGTGCAGCCCACAAATCTTAGCATCCGTGGTATCAGACAGGACACCGGACACCTGCTCATCATCTCCTGCAGGGGAACTCTACTCCCCCCCTCAATTTTTATATTTTTTTTTTTTGTTAGCTCTCCCTATATTACCATACTGAAATGTCAGCTTTGCTACGGAGCAGATGTCTCCTTGTAATTACTGTTGTTGCAGGGTTTTCAGTGTTTATCCTGACTGCCCAGCTGGGCTGTTACAGCGTTAACCAGCTCGCATCGCAGCGTGGCCATGCGGTTGCTGCACATCTGGAAGAGGATGCAAGCGCCGGGGCTCTCCGGCAAGTTTTTGTCTGCTGCAGCTCTGGATCGACTCTTTAATGTGCTGAGCACAGAGAAGGATTTGGGGGCGTTGATAGGCGAGAAGCTCCACATGAGCCGGCAGGGCGCTCCTGCAGCCCAGAGGCCAACCGCATCCTGGGATGGATCAAGAGAAGCGTGGTCAGCAGGTCAAGAGAGGGGATTCTCTCCCTTTACTCTGCTCTTGTGAGACCCCACCTCAAGTACTGCGTCCAGTTCTGGTGCCCCCACCATAAGAGGGACGTGGATCTGTTGGAGCCTGTTCAGAGGAGGCCACAAGGATGATCCAGGGGCTGGAGCAGCTCTGCTACGAGGA